TTTATTTTTTCTATAACTTTCATTTACACACTTTTCACATCTAACAGTCATGTGAAATGAAACACATCAATTATAATTCAAATTGAAACAAACACATCAAATATTTCTTATTATTACATCAAAGCACATAATAATCTTATGAAGCCAATCAACCTAACAATCTTATAACAATTTAAAGCACATAATAAGAAGCCTTTATTGTATCCACCATTCTAATTTCTAAATATGTACGTAGTATCCTAACAATAATATTCAACATTACATCAAAGTCACAAACCAACAGGGTTGGTGAAACTGTTGAGGAAGAAAACAATGTTAAGTTTTAGTTTGTTGACTTTTAGATATCTTTCAAAAAATTAGGTATGAATATTGAAAGTTACACCGCTATTTCCAGAATAAATAGTTTCTTTTTAGTTTTTAAATATTAGCTTTCAATTCTTTCCTACATTCTGGCTTTGATAATTTATTTTTCCTACATTTTGGCTTCGATAAATGAAAGTTTATTTTTGTTTTGAGTACAAGCGATTAGGGGATGTGTGTTTACATAAATATTTATTGGGTGTTTGAAGATTTCAAAGCTTTGCCAACATAGATGAAGGTAGAAGAGCTCAACCAACTGAGTTATACTCTACTGACAATGAATAAAAGAACTTAGTAATATGCTGTTTTTAATATGCATCTATACTCGTTTAATTTGATTATATATAATATGCTTTGTGTGGGTGGATTGCTGCTTTGCTTTTATTTTGTTTTTGTTTCTCTTTTTGGTACCCATTTAATTCATCAACAGGCACCTATAACCTATGCATAATAATGGTCTGCCCCCAACCATACACGGCCTTGTGAAGCAAAAAAATAATCAAAGCTTGAATTTGTGCTTAGGAATGAAAAGGAAAAGAAGAAATGAAGAATAAGAAATCCCAACAGATGATTCATGAACATTAGATAGATAGGTGTAGAAAAAGTGGTCCATAATTTCTTCATTTCTTAGACGTACAGGGAGAGAGTTTGTGGGTGTGTGCTTCAACATTTTTGGCCAGCCTACAATTGATTTCTTTTGTAGATAAGGTTCATTGTGTGAACATGATTTGAAAACTTTCGTAAAGCTCAATCCCTTTATGAGTTAATGTAGACTACAAACTTTCATAAAGGACTTGTTGATTATATTCGGGTTTAGAAAGAACACATATAGTAGAGGTTACAAGAGATCGTCATTGTAGACTACAAGCCTTATTTTACAACAAATAAAATGAATATTTTGGTAACATCAATAACATCATCAAGCATGACACACAGCTCATAAGATGATTTATGTTAACCTTCTTCCACTTATTCTCTCTCTCTCTCTCTCTCTCTCTCTCTCTCTCTCTCTCTCTCTCAGAGGTGGAATTTATTGTTTATGGATATCACATGTACATAGTATACATCGCTCTCTAAAGAGGGGGGATACTTTGCTTATGCTTGAAAAAATTAAGAGGATCGACCATGGTTTTCACACGCACCAATCTATCAAAATTACCTTTGAAGTACTTCCTTCCATAAAGTGTAGCAGTTTCAAAGTTAGTCTTATTATCCTGGTTCGCACCTATGTCGAGGTCCCTGTAGTTTTGGAACGCCTCTCTTGGATTCTTGGAGACATATGGTGTCATCATGTCATACAACTCTCTTGTTAAGCTAACGTACTTGTTGGTGGCCTCAATCCCTTCGTCATACCACGACGAATAGTATAGAGCAAAAAATAGGTTTCCGGCCCTGTGAGGGTATGGAGTTGCTGACTCAGAAATCTCACTCATTCTTCCACCATAAGGGTTCCAATCCAACCAAATGTGCTCTATCTCAATCATCTTCTTCCATATAGAATCAAAAACATGTTTTGGAATTGGTTCCTTCACATAGTCTGACTTACCTTTGTAGAAGGTCTCTGGTTCAGTTGGCTTGCTGAGAAGAATTTCTATGGGGGTTCCAATAGGACTTTCAGCCCAAAATACAGTGGATTCCACCCAGCTCACTTCATAGCAGTTTTTTCGTTGTAAGCCCAGTTCAGGGAAACTCTCATTCAACAATGCCACAACCTTGTCACTTGTTCCCAAGAAATGGCCAATGAATGATACTCCCACAGTCTTGTTTCCCTTGGTATCAATATTCTTCACTTGTGGCTGTGCTCTGAGGAAGACCTCCTTGGGCAGCTGGGGTGCAAGAGTTTGCCACTTGTAAACCAAATCTGTAGCACCTTCCTCTATGGTCTTTGTAAGGTTGAACACAGTCACTTTGGGTGGAACTGGAACCAGCTTGAGCTTCCATGAAAGAATAACTCCGAAGCTAGCTCCACCACCTCCTCTGATGGCCCAGAAAACGTCCTCTCCCATTGACTTTCTATCAAGGATTCTACCATTGGCAGTAACTAGCCTAGCATCCACGATATTATCGACGCTAAGCCCATACTTTCTCATCAAAAACCCATAGCCGCCGCCACTAAAATGGCCACCAGCACCAACTGTTGGACAAATCCCAGCAGGAAAGCCGTAAACGTTGGTTTTTGTACCAATTGCATAATAAACTTCTCCAAGAGTAGCTCCAGAGTGAACCCAAGCGCTCTTATCAGCAACATTAACATCAATGGAGTTAATGTTAAACATGTCGAGAATGACAAAGGGCACATCCGACGTGTAAGATAAACCCTCGAAATCATGGCCACCACTTCGGATTTTAATTTGCAAACCATGATGTTTGGCACAAAGCACAGTTGCCTGGACGTGGGACTCATTCTTGGCTGCTATTATGGCCAAAGGTTTTGGAGTTGCAGCTGTAGAATATCTGCGGTTATTGATATGTGCTACCAAAACAGATTGAAATGAGCTATTTTGAGGGGTGTAAATTGATTCTTGGATTGTGTGGGCAGGGTGAGGATATTTTGTGAGGCATTGGAGAAAGCCATCAATGGAAACTATTCCTGCAGTTGTCCATGGTATCGAGAGTGAAAGGACGGAGAGAATGAAAAGCAGGACTGGAGGGTTTCTGAACTTCATTGGTAATATGTGGGATTGTAGCTTTCTTGATTTAATGCTCAGCAGTGTGATAATACAACAGGCTTGGGGCGGTATTTATAATGGAGCCAAAGCACCCAAACTTTGAATTTGTTTTTGGTTTCTCACCCAACCCGTGTAGCGTATCAAATTCAACTTGTTATGTTGAATTTTATAATATTATAAAATCCAATTGTAATATTAGTGTATCAAATTCGCAATACTTTTATCCAATTGTGGACTTTTCTCTCTAGCAGACTTGGCTAATATTAGAAGAGCTTATCCGTTTGAGAAATGGACCTTTCAAATCTCCCTCCTCAACGCTGGAGTATAGCATACCCAGTTGCAACGTCCTCTCTTAATTCTATAATACGGCGTCTTCTGCAAGACTAAATTAACATCTAATATAATTGATTTTTTTTTTTTCGGGTAGAGTCTGTTTGATTATGTATAAAATGGGGGTGTTATTTTTTTCAGTAAAGCGCAACGTTATGATTGTTGTACATTGAATATGTGATCAAGATAATTTATCTTGAATCAAAGTACCCACTAGTGTAGTAGTTTCGAGCAATTATTCCTCTAGAAAAAGTCATGGTTCGAGTTACATTGTTATAAATTAATGGAGCTAAATATTGACTATTAGGCACCCCAAGGACTAATTGACAAATTAATGCAAATTATATTAGAAAACTATACAAATGGATTTTGTCCACGTGTTGGATGCCCTCAAGTCTAGAAAAGATGATCTTGTTTGTTTTGAGTTTCAATAGGAGTTTCTCGCTAGCACATATTGAAAGTCTGGTCAATTGACTTGGCCAATGGCAGTCCTTTTTCCAGAAATATTGTTTGAGTTCAAAAGTAGAGATGCTTCCTCCCTAGTTCTGGACCAAGGAAAAGCATAATGTGCGAAATGGGGAAAGCTTGGTCTATTGTTAAACCCATTCTATGCAAAACAGTCATATCATCAAGTTGGTATTTTTATTTTTATTTTAAAGGGGGGAAACTGGTCATTGTAGCATTTCCGCTTTGCTTATCTTCCTAAGGGAAATTTCTCTAGGGTAGAGTTGTTTGACAAAGTCTGGTGGGCTTTTATTGATGTTTCACATCATAGCAGCAAAGTTGGTATTAATAAACTAAGGAGGGATCATGTTAGGGTTGAAAGCGATCCAATTTGCATCAGTTTCACTTAAAAAATACAACAAAATCAATCAACCGTTGAATGGTGCGATTTGATTTGTATAAGCTGAGATAAGGAGAGAACTCAAACCAAATCAAACTACGATTAGGAAGTTTGGTTCATAATTTAAAAAAGAAAGAAAGCACGTTACTTAATATTTACAATATATAAAGAGTATCACGGCTGGATTTATTTTAATAAGAAAGTTCTAATCTTTCGTTTTCATGAGTATAATTCATGAGATATATGTACCAAAAAATTAATATCATAATTGAGTCTACTGTCAAAATCTCTTAGCATAAATAATTCAATAGGCCAAGATTGACTAATATTTTGATTATAAATTGAAGTAACATTTTACAAGATCCCGAGTTTCTACATTTATAATCAATGTATTTTCCCACATTTCATTTAATCTTAGTCATTGTAATAATCTAACGACCCATAACATGACACGTCAACTATCATCAATTTAGATTAAGTTTAACACTCTAAAAATCCAGTTTTACCCTTCCAATAAAATCGAGAATTCTTAACTGGAGTAGAGCTTCACTAGTGCATCAAGATAGGCCTTAATCACACCAAAAATATAAGAAAAAGAAAAATCATCATCATTTGGGTTGAGGGGCGAAGCCTTGATTGTGGCTTGGTCTGGTCTAAGCCCAATGCCCGTCCAACTCAACCGGACCGAAGTAAGTAGCAAGCTGGGCCTAAAACTAACTATCCCTGATCCACTAGACCCAATTTTCCTGAAAGTCAAAGATTAAGCTCCAGTTCTTGGCCTTCAACAAGCCACGAGTTCCAGTCTCTCTGCGAGTTACCCAACTTCCTGGCCTTGGGCTGGGTGCTTTGCCTTCCCAATCCCAATTTCTCTGTGTTCACCAGTCTTAATCCTTAAGGCATTAAATTTGGAACTTGGAAGCAGAAACTTCCGGCTTATTATTTGTTAGTTGTCCTAACTAAGCAAGCACATATGGTAGTTAATTTGGCAAAAGTGACAAAACTCAACTCACATTTCATGGAAACTCCGAGTAGTTGTGCAATTTTAGCAGCTGGTTTCTTCCTTCTTCTCCATGTTTCAATGGCAGCTTCAAATCCAACCCAAGACACCTTCTTCCTCCAATGCCTTTCCAATCATTCCCAATATTCCTCCCCACCAATCTCTGCAGTCACCTACTTCCCCAACAACTCTTCATACACATCCATCTTGCAGTCATATATCAGAAACCTGCGCTTCATAACACCCACAACCCCAAAGCCACTGTTCATAGTCACTCCCACACACGTTTCCCACATCCAAGCTTCAATCTTTTGCTCCAAAATCCATGCCCTTCAAGTCAGAATCCGCAGTGGCGGCCACGACTATGATGGGCTCTCTTATGTGTCTCAAGTTCCGTTCATCATCGTTGACATGTTCAGTTTAAGATCCATAAGTGTCAACGTAGAAGATGAGAGTGCTTGGGTTGAATCTGGAGCAACATTGGGTGAAGTTTATTACAGAGTAGCAGAGCAGAGCAAGATCCATGGCTTCCCAGCTGGTGTTTGCCCCACAGTTGGGGTTGGAGGACACTTGAGTGGAGGTGGGTATGGTAATATGATGAGAAAATATGGCCTTTCTGTTGATAACATACTTGATGCTCAAATTGTTGATGTTAATGGAAGACTTTTAGATAGAGAGTCAATGGGAGAAGACCTCTTTTGGGCTATTAGAGGTGGAGGTGGAGCTAGCTTTGGTGTGATTGTTTCTTGGAAAATCAAGTTGGTTCCTGTCCCAGAAATTGTCACAGTTTTTCGAGTTGAGAGGACTTTAGAACAAGGTGCCACCGACATTGTTCATCAGTGGCAATATGTTGCTGATACAATTCATGAAGATCTTTTCATTAGGGCGGTTGTGATGCAATCGAATAAAAAGGGGCATCAGACAGTGAAAGCTAAATTTGTGGCATTGTTTCTAGGAAATGCAGAAAAGCTTCATGCTTTGATGGATGAGAGCTTACCCCAATTGGGTTTGAAGCATGAGGATTATATTGAAACGAGTTGGATAGAATCTGTCTTGTATTGGTCTAATTACCCAATTGGAACTTCCGCTGATGTCTTGCTTGAAAGACAACCATCATCAGAAAAATTTCTGAAGAAGAAATCTGATTACATCCAAGAACCAATGTCAAAGTCAGGTCTTGAAGAACTTTGGAAGAAAATGATGGAACTGAGAAAGCCAGTACTAACATTCAATCCTTATGGTGGAAAAATGAGGGAAATTTCAGAGCTTGAAACCCCATTTCCACATAGAGCTGGAAATGTGTACAAAATCCAGTACTCAGTGAATTGGAAAGAGGAGGGTGTGGAGGTTGCAGATAAAAACCTTGATCTGATAAGAAGGCTTTATGAGTTTATGACACCTTATGTGTCAAAGTCACCAAGGTGTTCATATCTCAATTACAGAGATGTTGATTTGGGTACCAATGGAAATGGCAATGCAAGCTACTCAGAAGCTAGTGTTTGGGGGACCAAGTACTTCAAGGGGAACTTTGACAGATTGGTACAAGTGAAGACTGCTGTAGATCCAGGAAACTTTTTTAGTTATGAACAAAGTATTCCATCTCTTGCAGCTTGGGAAGGTAAAATGGCAGAGTAAAGGCTGCTTTGTGTTTGCGTGTGCGTATACATATATTTGTAAAGGAATAAAAATTCATTTGTATGAGATATTATTGTTGTACATGCAAAAGTTTGTAGCAGAATAAGTGGAGCATGTGGAAATGTTGGATTTGAAGGTGAGGAACTGAATTTGTCCAGTTTTCCTTGGCCTATTTGATGGAAATTCCAAGTTTAGTTGTCTTTATTTCCTTGTTGCCTTTCCTTTGTCTTGGATGAATATTCCTGTTGGGTTTTCCTTTTTCTTATGATTGTGGAAGATGGATTCGAAAGTTGGAAACCATTGGAAAGAGTTATATTAATAGTTGGTCCGCTTGTTTTTTTTCCTATTCACTATTATAAACATAGCTACAAGTTTATCTGCTTAATATAAACACAGCTATAAGGACAAGAGTGTAACAGGGATGAAGGCGGTGAAGAGGGAAAAATGCTTAACAGAGATGGGGATGGGGATGGGAATGACATACCCACCCCAATTTGCTTGTCATCCTTACAAGAGAGGACAGTCCCAGATTTTATCCTCCTTAATACGATCACCTTCCTAGGTGCATAATTTGTCACATTCTATGTGCTGGGCCTGTAAATTAATGCTTGATCAAAATTTTACTAGACAACTCAAGTGAAGCCTGATAGTGGCTCATTCTAGTCTAAACCCAAAATCAACCCAACCCAGTCCGACTGGAGTATCTATAACCATAGTTTCGAGTCGTTCTATAGTGAAGGTGTCATATATGAACCATATATGTAAACCTTCATAGTAGTCATATGATTCATAGCTTCAGTTAAGTTTAATGAAATGATCTTGTGAGTAATATGAAGGTCCACATGAGGAGTCCATATATGACACCCTCACTATAGAATTTCGCCCATAATTCCCTTACCCAATGGTCGTTTTCATTTATTTACTATTCCCTTTGAATGCTTCATTTGTAAATTCTAGTGATATATTCATCAAGAAAAAAAATAAAAATTATTAGAAAAAATTGACGGATCATTTTATGCATCAATTAGTTAAACCATCATAAAATTCAAAATTCTAATTTCTTCTTAAGAAAGTTAGGTTTTCTTTGGCAAGTTTGTGTTTCCTTTTTCCATAGGATTGTATGCCTAGGATCCCAAGCCTCTGAATTTAGCATCCATGCATTTACACGCATTTAAAGGGATATTAACCATTAGATTGATCTAATGAATTTTAACAAGTCCACATCCATGGGCGGCTAGCCCAAATATTTTTTTTTTTTTAAATTACCTACATGTGTTATAAACCCATCCCAAAATTAAAAAAAATTAAAAACAAACCCTACACATATATTGCTCATCCAGGTGGTCCCATATCTTCTCTCTCCTTCTCTTTTGGCTATTAGACTTCTTGTTTCTCTCTCATTCTCTCTTTGCTACCTGACATCAGCAAGTTTCTCCCTCTCTCTTTTTTTGGGTCAAATTCTCCCTCTATTGGCTATATCTTCTATTATCTTGGGTGGGCAACTTGGCAACAACATATTCTCCTCTCCTTTTGTCAACAAGAAGTATTATGCTCGTTCTCTCCTTTGTTATATATCTTTAATTATAGTTTTAATTAAAAATTGAGTATTTTAGGAATTAAGGATGAATTATAATTTTGGGATTTTGTGGCAATTAATCAGGGCTTTGATTAAGGATGAATTATTGCATGGCTTTGATTTGGGATTTTGTTAAAATTGAGTATTCTAGGGGTTAGTTATGAATGAATTATAAATTTTGATTTGATTGTTGAGTATGCTATTATGAAAATTTGTTTTTTTTTTTAAATTGGTATGTTTGATTAAAATTCTTTTTACATATTATTCATAGGCTATCTTTTAAGAGTTCCAAGCCTCGCAGGGTTAAATTTTAGATTTAAATAGTGTTGTTTGAATTGCATTTACTTTTGGTTTTAGTTTTAGTTTTTGTATTCGTTGAACTTTTATTTATGGATAGAGATGCATTTGAGGGTATGGCTCATTATGTCCCCTTGACTACGTGTATATTTTTATGTTTATTAATGAAATTCACTCGTATCATCGAGTTTAGTATGTAAGTTTTGCCCAACCGGCTTTTGAATCCTAGAACCGACACTGTCCACATCTCAGCATCTCTTTACACCTTATGTGTATCTAATATCTTTGAAATAAAATATTAAAAATACAAAATAATAGTCTCTGCCCCCAACCCAGCCCTTACCCGCCCAGCCCTAAACCACTCCCACTAATTGCTACTATCCATGGCCACCACCTCTCCCTGTGCCATCCATAGTCCCATCGTATTAACACGGAATTATTGTCTCAACAGCAAGCATGTACTTCAAAATCAAATTGCAATTGAAAATCCTAGAAGTGCCTTCCAATTATAGGACCTAGTGAAAGTGTGTGTGAGAGAGAGGAAAATAGAGTGAGAGGCAGTGGCAATTGGTAGGCAGTATAGGGGCTCGGTTGGGGAGGAAGGTGGTTGCTGTTTGATGGGAGTTTTTAATTTTTAATTTTAAAGATATACATATAATAAGGTGCAAATGGGGAATTTTGGTATAATACAATAATGATTATGTGGACTTATTAAAATTCATTAGATCAATTGGTGAAATAGACATGTTTGTGAAGATAAGGACTACCTGCACCTGGACAAAAAGACCCTATGAAGCTTCACTATCTAATGGTTAACATCTCTTTAAATGTTTGTAAATGCACGAATGCTAAATATAAAGGTTCGGGATCCCTATGCCTATATATAGATGGTTTGGATCATTGGGAAAAAAATTGTAAGATTCCCTAAAGGGCGTCCCTCAAATAAAATTATTTAAGGGATCCCTCAATAGAAGGGGACTGTATATATATATTTGAGAACAAGATTGTATGCCTATATAAAGGTTTATGATTGTTATTTCCAAATCCGAATTCCACCACAAATTGGCTATCCTAATCAACCATCTTTGGCAATAAAATAAATCAATCAACCATCTAAATTTTACTAGGAATTGATGAGTTCCTAATTAACGAAGGAAACATAAAGGAAAATCCTAAATCAACTAAGAAAAGCAAATAAAGTCTTTATGAGAAAAGAAAGCACAAAATTAACAAACAAAAAAAACCCTAAAATATCCTAAATTTTATTGTAATAAGATTAATAACTTCTTGTAAACAAAACTCTAATACATGTTAGAAAATTGTTAGAGTCCAAACTTTCATAAAAGAATTAACGTAGCTATCGAAGAACAAGGGTTTGAAGACAAAATATATCTCATCTCATGAAGTCAATCCTTTTGTTAAAGTTAGTGGTCCCTAATTTGAAATGTTCAAACTCTTAGGCACCACCTTCGGGCCACTGCTTCCAGTCCATTTCATTGACCTGGTCAATGCCTTAACACAATATGCTTAATTATCTTACAAAATTGTTTTTTTTTTTAATAAATTTTTTTATAATATTTTCTAATAACATTGATTAATTATGCGATTAGTGCTTAATTTTCTAGATCATGCAGCATACCTACCATAAAGCACATGGTACATGTACCTACGACTTAGTTAACAACTATACGTATGAAGACATATCTATGCATGCATTTTGTTATGTACAATGAAAACAAGGTGACTTTGTTTGACAGAGGATTCAAAACATGGTATCTGGTTTCAGGGACATTCTTTTTATTTAAATATATGGTGAGTTAATTGATCATATACGCAGAAAACGTGAACTAGTTTTGGATTTTGGACCAACTTCATTTGTAAACCTGCTATCATTTTCATTACATGCTGTCTATCTTGCCATTTGATATATTTAAACAGCTGGGTTGAGAAAAGGTCCATTCTTTTACAGATGTGTTAATTTGTTAACTTTCATGGGTTATAATAATAACAATATTATTATGTTAAACTGTTATAACTCCCCATCAAGCTAATGGTGCTGCCCATTGGATTGCACGCTTGAGTCTCCATGGTAATCTGGATGGAAGAGGGACCTCCTTCGCTCATAGATTCCGTTCATGATGATTGGCCTAATTTTCTTCGAGAAGGTTTTAACGAGACCACTCTTTTACACAAAGATTCTTGTTTTGTGTTTTGCTGTTGGTTTTAATGAAATATCGTTTGCTCAAAAAACAAAACTGTTGTAACTGCAGGCCAAACAAAAAAGAAAAAGGAAAAAGAGAATGACCTAAGAAAAAAAAAAAAACGAATTTTGAATCGTGTGCTTCCAAAAATATTAAATCGTATCTCCCTATGTTTAGACAGTAATTAAATATTCAATTTGATTTTAGTTTGATATTCTTCCTATATTAAAAGCTTAGAGAATTTTCAAAACAGAAGTCAATAATCCCAATTTAATCAAGTCAAATTGTAAACCATCAAATAGAAATAAAAGTCAAAATGTACACAAGTATAATGTGGATGGACCAAAACACAGAGTGTAGAAAAAGTTGGAGTCTTGAGATATGCATGCATGATTGGTGCAGATTCACTTTCCATAAAATTTTCCATTGAATTTTCTCATCAGCATTAAATTTTATGTAAAAAATATCAGAAAATAAAAAGTACCAAAAATAAAAAGTCCCCCTCTGGCTATGTATAAGAGGACCAAAGCCACACAGCAAACCCACAACAAATTGTCAATAACAATGAGAAGCGCAATGCCTAGAATTCTTCCACTTGCTGTTTTGTTTGTTGTTTTTTATGTTTCTGCATCATGGGCAGCCTCTGGTTCTGTCTATGACAACTTTGTTCAGTGCCTGAACACAAAAGCAAACTCATCATCTTCAACCCCATTGGCAAACATAGTTTTTGCCCAAAACAACCCTTCATACACATCTGTGCTAAGAGCCTACATCAGAAATTCCAGGTTCAACAAAACCTCAACGCCAAAACCAGTGCTCATAATCACCCCCTCAGCTGAATCCCATGTCCAGGCCTCTGTCCTCTGCGCAAAGCAGCTTGGCATACAGCTCAAAATCCGAAGCGGCGGCCACGATTATGAGGGTGTTTCTTATTGGTCTGATCAGACTTTTATTGTTCTTGACATGTTTAATCTCAGGAGTATCGCTGTGGACATCAAAGACGGTTCTGTTTGGGCTCAGGCTGGAGCCACACTTGGAGAAATGTACTATAGGATTTGGGAGAAGAGCAAAGTTCATGGCTTTCCTGCTGGAGTTTGTGAAACAGTTGGTGTTGGTGGGCACATAAGTGGTGGCGGCTATGGAAACATGTTGAGGAAGTATGGCCTTGCTGTGGACAATGTCATTGATGCTCAGATTGTTGATGTTCAGGGGAGGCTTCTTGACAGAAAATCAATGGGAGAAGACCTCTTTTGGGCTATTAAAGGAGGAGGTGGAGGTAGCTTTGGAGTTATTATTTCATACAAATTGAAGTTGGTTTCTGTGCCTGAAATTGTTACAGTGTTCCGGGTGGAGAGAACCTTGGAAGAGAATGCAACCGCCGTCGTATTGAAGTGGCAAGAGGTGGCGCCAACCACAGACGATGGTCTTTTTATGAGGATGCTTTTGCAGCCTGTGACTTCTAAAGTGAAGAAGGGTGAGAAGACTGTTAGAATCTCAATTTTGGCCGAGTTTCTTGGCAATGCTGACCAACTTGTGTTATTATTGGGGAAGGAGTTTCCTGAATTGGGTTTGAAGAAGGAGAACTGTATGGAGATGAGTTGGATTGACTCTGTGCTTTGGTGGGCTAATTTTGATAATGGGACTAAACCTGAAGCTTTGCTCAATAGAAATCCCAATGATGCAAATTTCCTGAAAAGGAAGTCTGATTATGTTCAAACCCCAATCTCCAAAGATGGATTGGAGTGGTTATGGAAGAAGATGATTGAGCTTGGCAAAACAGGGTTGGTGTTCAATCCATATGGTGGGAAAATGAGCCAAATTCTAGCCTCTGAGACGCCTTTTCCACACCGTGCGGGGAACTTGTTCAAAATTCAGTACTCAGTGAATTGGGAAGATGCAGGAGAGGATTCAGAGAAGAATTATCTCACACAAAGCAGGAGGCTTTACAGTTACATGACCCCATTTGTGTCCAAGAACCCAAGAAGTGCTTTCTTGAATTACAGGGACCTTGACATTGGTATCAATACATTTGGTGACAATAGCTATGAAGAAGGGAAGGTTTATGGATTGAAGTACTTCAATGACAACTTTGATAGGTTGCTGAAGGTGAAGACTGCTGTTGATCCAGAAAATTTCTTCAGGAACGAGCAGAGTATCCCTACTCTTCCAAGTAAGGCATAGGAGAATTTAGCTGTTGACACAGCTTGTATTGGTTATTGATTCATCATACTATAAGTTAAAAAAAAAAATAATGTCACTTAGATGATGAGTATTTGGTTACTTTTGATTGAGCACTTGTCATAGTGAATATACAAAATTTATACAATTTACTCTTTGATTTTTAGATTATGAGAGATGTGACAAGTATAAGAAAATTACAATCAATCTCATTCATTCTAGTTAATGCAAATGGTAGGACACTAGCATGATTGACGGTGTCTACCTTTCAAGGCTGATTTTAACAATTTCTTTCTATACTCTCTGATTTGTTTGCTTGCTCAATAATCTGAAAGAGGCTCTCTCTCAACCACTGGAAAAATAAAAAGAACTGAGTTTATGGGCTATGAGTCTTTTTTTTCTCTGTTTTTTTTTTTTTGGGTTTATTTCTTTCAATATTCTTTATGAACAAAATTATCCATGCAGAATCTTCACTTCACGCTTAAAAACCACTTTCCTTTTGATCAAAGTCAGAATATATGTTCCTTTCACAATGGCATATAGGTAAAAGTGAGTGAAAATAGCTATCATTGAAAACTCTTATCTGCAATGAAGCTTCGGCTGGTTGGTAGGTCTTGACTTTACGGTGTTCACACGTTTAGAATTATGCGTGTGGGATCCCATCCACTGCTAGAGGAGGAATACAATTATACAAGGTCTGGGCCTCAGCCTGTTCCCTATGACTAAGTCCTCTCCCCATAGAAGAACTTTCATGTGGGATGCCTTGCACATGACCCTTTTGGCCTTTTTCTTTTGTGGGCTATCACCATGTGCTTTACTGTTATTGTTGTGTATCCGGAAATAGTGAGAACATTTTTGCATTCACTTTAGTTATGGATACTCCAATATTTTTGTAACACTTTGTTAGGATTATGGATGGTTGGTTTTCCAAATTGTTGGTGATTTCCAGTCAGTCATCAAGACTCCTTGTGAATGCATTCAACCTATTTGATGATATTCAGAAACCAGTTTGCATTTGATTTAATTACTAAGCTCAAAGTGAAGAGATGCACATTTTAGCTCTCTGACTCTGGCTTGCCATTTTCCAGGGAGTATATGTTTGATATGCTTTTGGTCCTGTAAATCAAAAATAGTTTTAACTCAATTACCACTAGCTTTTCCATGGCCTGCTTATGCATGAGCTTCCTACTTTCAGATAAAGGCTTGAACCCCAAGTTCATAAGGGAGTTAGACATGATTCTAGATTACCTGGAATTAATAAATAATGTAAACAGAACTTGTTTGATTGGATGGTTAAACACTCAAACTGCAATCTTCACATACATTTTGTTTCCTACTCCTGAGCTCTCCAGAAGTTGCTGACTTTGGTTGCTGATATTGCAGATGGAAACTCAGACGTGAATAGCGGGTCATGTTCCAACTTACCAATGGGGAAGCTATTCGTTCTACTGATATGCTTGCTTATCGGAGGTTGGTAACGAGAAATGTTTCTATAGTCAAGTCTAAGATCCTTCATAACCTTTTTGTTTTGTTTTGTTTGATTTTTAAATTCTCTGCTTAGTAAGTTCTTACTTAGCATATTGTCAATCCCTCAATTTTGTGTGTAAATTGAAGTCATTTTTGGCTGGGGTTGAAAATCAGCATCTTAACTGACAGAAAATATCCTGGTTTTTTTGTTAACGTAGTTAGTTGAGGGCGGCTTAGTTGATTCTCCGGTTAACGTAGGACAGATATGTAGGCCATGCGAATAGTGAGAATGCGGCACTTTATAGTAGGTGATGACAAACTGCTCATTGCGGCCATTGTAGAAGTGATGAGTTATTTGCTGATGTATCCAAGACAAATTCATGTCATATTCCAAATTTCATCCAAGAATTTTTTCACTTGAAGTTTCCACTTATACTTGGAAATTTTCAATGGCCAATGTCTGCAATGTTCTTTAATTTAAAGTACAAAGTTGGAACATCAACCAGATAATTACTAGGAACGTCAACCATATATAAACGACTGAGCCGGTACCATGTTATATGCAGAGGATATAATCATGGTGTTCTTCAACGTAAAACTACTTCCACTACTTGTCATCCCTTTCAACTCAGTTTGGTCCACAAGTTCAAATTCAATATCTGAAAGCTTACTTCAATGTCTTTCCACTCACCTAAAGCATTCTACTCAAGTAAGGAAATAATCTTAACCAGAAATAGTTCTGCTTTTTCCTCAGTCTTGCAATCTTCCATACAGTACCTCAGATTCTTGAACAATTCAACGCCAAAACCCAAAGTTATCGTTACTCCTTTCCATGAATCTTATGTTCAAGCAGCAGTTATTTGCTCCAAGAAACATGGCATACAAATAAGATTCCGAAGTGGGGGCCATGACTACGAGGGCCTATCTTATGTATCATATGATCCTTTCATCATCATTGATCTTTTCAATCTTCAGACCATCCATATTGACATAGAGAATGAGAGTGCATGGGTCGAGTAAGCTGCTACACTTGGACAGTTGTATTACAGCATTGCGCAAAAGGGTAAGGCACATGGATTTCCAGCAGGATCTTGTCCTACAGTGGGTGTGGGGGGACATATTAGCGGAGGTGGATTCGTTACTATATTCAGGAAATATGGTCTAGCAGCTGACAATGTTATTGATGCTAGGATTGTTGATGTCAATGTCAGACTTCTCAGTAGAAAATCCATGGGAGAAGAACTCTTCTGGGCTATCAGAGGAGGAGGCGGCTCAAGCTTTGCAGTCATTCTGGCATGGAAACTTAGATTAGTTCCTGTTCCTCCATCTGTAACAGTTTGCAAAATTGAAAAGACCATAGAAGAAGGTGCAACCAAACTTTTCTCTAAATGGCAAGTTATAGCAGAAAAGCTCCATGAAGACCTTTTCTTACATTTGGTTGTGGAAGTTGCAAACGAAGCCAGTACAACTGATGGCAAAACTATTGAAGTGTCGTTCGATTCATTGTTTCTAGTTGAGAAGCTTCTCCTTTTGACGCAAGATAAGTTCCCGGACTTAAGTTTAGACCGCAGCAATTGTACTGAAATGAGTTGGATCCAGTCTGTGATGCACTTTGCTGGCTTCCCAATAAGCGAATCCTTGGAAGCTTTACTGAAGAGGACTCAGCCATCTAGGAGCTTCTTCAAAGCAAAATCGGACTATGTGACGCAACCCATTTCACAAGCTGGCTTGGAAGGTTTATGGCAAAGACTACTTGAAGTAGAGACATCCCTGTTGATATTGACACCTTACGGTGGAAGAATGAGTGAGATCGTTGTGGAAGTTGCAAACGAAGCCAGTACAACTGATGGCAAAACTATTAAAGTGTCGTTCGATTCATTGTTTCTAGGACCCGTTGAGAAGCTTCTCCTTTTGACGCAAGATAAGTTCCCTGACTTAAGTTTAGACCGCACCAATTGCACTGAAATGAGTTGGATCCAGTCTGTGATGCACTTGCGGAGGAACCATGATGCTAATACAAGCTATGCACAAGCAAGCATTTGGGGTTTGAAGTATTTCAAGAGTAACTTTAGGAGACTTGTTCATGTTAAGACCTTAGTTGATCCTGGTAACTTCCTTAGAAATGAACAAAGCATCCCTGTTTTACCATCTGGGCAGAAATAGAGTGTAAATAATAAATAGTTGGGTTTGGCCCAATGTAGAAAATAATAATAAATAAGTCTGCAGCCTAAACCAATGTATTCAACACTTCTCCAAAAGCTTAGACCATATTCCATCACTGTAGGAGCATAAAAGAATATATCAGTGCTATTTTCTATGTGCAGATGCAGAATAATGGAAATTGTTGGATTTTAGATGCTCTGATAGCAATGTTAGGTTGTGTCTGAAGGGGTTTAGAATAATAGTACAATAATTGAAATAACGTGATTTTATTAGATTGGAGGAGAATAGTACATGGCTTTGTGTGCATAGGATTACAGGCTATTGGCCTTCTCGTGGTGTAGCTATTGGGAATTGTTGGCCCTTCACTGATGTAGCCATTAACTACTTCATATCCTGCTTGATAAAACAAGGCTTTTGGCCTCTACATGGCTATTGGCTTCCATGCGGCCGCCTTGATGACTTGGATTGGTGAGCTCTTAGCTCCACTTTGCTAGATTGCCTGCAAAGTTATAGGCATTGTTGCCGACTTGTCCAAGTTCCACTGACTTGGCTTATTCCTCTTAGCCACAAGTTCTGCCACTACTCCTTGGATTATATTCTAGAATAAACTCAAAATCATTTCTAATAGGACTTGTCTAGGGCATGAGCTATCCTTCTGAGATAATTTTTTACCCCAAGCCAACATAGCCTCTTCTTCCACCACGCTTTCTAAAGTTGTGCAGATCCCTTTCAAATGCGTGCATTACTTTTTAACAAAAATAAAGCAATATTAGTTGTATTTCTCATTTCAACACACAGAAAACAAAATGATGACAGCTTCATGGAAGCAAGTGCATCACTACTGGATCATATTTCTTTTTTTGGGTACACGTTTATGGAAAGTCTTTAATTAGTACAGAACTTATTTTTGGGATCCTACCATGGAAAAGTTATCAATAGCTACAATGTTCTATCAACTCATGGTGCCTATATAAGTGAGCTCAGAGCTCATACAATTCCACATGCTCAAGGGCTATTAGAGGAGGGGGAGGTTCAAGCTTTGGAGTCATTCTGGCATGGAAACTTGAGCTGGTTCCTGTTCCTCCATCTGTAACAGTTCACACATAATCAAAGACCATACAACAGGGTGCAACCAAACTTGTTTCTAGATGGCAAGCTATAGCAGATACGATTCCTGAAGGGAATTTCTTGCGTTTGGTTATATAAGTTGCAAATGGAGCTGGTACAAATGGCGGGATAACTATTCAAGTTATATTCAATTTCTTGTTTCTTGAGACTGTCGAGAAACTTCTCCCTTGGATGAAAGAAAATTTCCCAGAGTTTAAGTGTAGAGCAGACCAAATTCGCTGAAATGAGTTGGATTGAGTCTGTTCTATCCATGGCTGATATCCAAAGAAACAAGACAGAAGTTCTGCTTCAGCGGACTCAACAATCTAAGAGAATCTTCAAAGCAAAATCAGACTATGTGACAAAACCAATTTCAGAAGCTGGCTTGGAAGGTTTATCGCGCTGTTGGAAAAAATAATGCTCATTTGTGTGTAATGCTCATTTGTGTTCTACGCAATGCAAGAATATTCTAGAATAAGCTAAATGCTCAAGGTGGTGGAACAAAAACAATTGAAGTCTGAAGAACATTATAGTACAAGACACATGTATGGCTAAGAAATGAAGAAGCCCAAGTTGGTGGCTGTGCATGTCGGCAAAGGAGCCTATAAATAGGCATGCAACCACAATGAAATGTGGAGTGAACCAATCAACTCCCAACCTATGTGGGAGCACAAAAGCTACCCAACCCAAGTCATATGGAGGAGTCAACAAAAGAACTCCCAAACCATTAGGGAGCCAAGAGCTATCCAAAGCTAGCGATGTTATAGAGAGCAAATGAGCTCACCAATCATAGTGCAAGGGCCAAATAGCCCAAACTAATCTAAGTAAAGGGCCAAATGGCCCAAACTATTCTAAATCAAGTGTAGTGGCTAATGAGCCAATAAGATATGAAGAAGGCCAATTAGCTTACATCAAGCCATGTACTATTCTCCTTCAATTTAATACAATCACTTTGTTTCCCCTAAAATTCTGACAGGCACATTATGCTTCAACTGGACACATCCCTGTTGATACTGTCACCTTTTGGGGGAAGAATGAGTGAGATTTCCGTTTCAGAAACTCCTTTCCCACCTAGAAAAGGGAACTTATGTGAAATCCAGTATTATTTCAGTTGGGATGATGACAAAGAAACTGGGAAATATATTAGCTGGACAAGAAGGGTGTGTGGCTGCATGGCAGCATATGCTTCCAAGTCCCCAAGAGCTGCCTATTTGAACTACAGGGATCTGGACTTGGGGATGAACAAGGATGCTAACACAAGCTATGCACAAGCAAGCCTTTGGGGTTTGAGCTACTTCAAGAATAACTTTAGGAGACTTGCACAAGTGAAGACCTTAGTTGATCCTGGTAACTTCTTTAGGAATGAACAAAGCCTCCCTGTGTTACCATCTGGGGAAAAATAGAATGTCAACAAGTAGATGGGTTTGTGTAATAGAATAAACAACAAATAGATAGGTTCGGCTTCGGTTGCTCATTTCATTGTACCAACCAATAATAGAATCGTTTGTTGCCTTTCTCTTGCTGTGAAGACTGAAATCCATTTGCAAATCTTTAGTATGATTTTACTTGAAATAATTTAAAGATTTTAATTTCTGCTTTGTTTGTCATACTATTTATTTATTTATTAGAAATGAAGTCTTCTTTGGTACAATCTCCCAATATATTTCTGTTGATGTTCTTTTTGGGAGGTTAATTTAGAGAGAAGTGGATTGTCTTCAACAAGGGAGAAGGTGAGGACCTTAGGTAAATTGTGAGCTTGGGGTTCCGTGAATTCTGATATGAAGTCAGCAATGGCCTGACCTTTTGTAGCTAGACAATGTTTGTAGTGGATATCAAACTCACCAAGTTCAATGACCCACTTAACTAACCTACTAGAAGTCTATGGCTTTTGCAATACCTGTTTTAGTGGCTGATTCGCACATACCACTTTGAAGGTTAGGTTTTCCTAATTTATATTCTACTTAGAACCTTCAACATAGAAGGTATATCCAACATGCAACTTGTCCGGACGTTCGGATCAAATCTGAACAGGAAAGACTCATTAAGTTTTGACCATGTAACCTTTAAGATGTGGTGTTCATCTTAAGTGAAATTACAATTATTAATAATAAGAAGTCATCGTCAATTTCAGGGAACCTTCCGACCAAAATTGCATCTAATTACTTTTCTAAAGATCCTTAAGACAATTAGATAGTTTAAAACAGTGATTAACAGTTCAAAGTATACATGTACTCAATCATAAGCAATTAAATAAAAGTCACATATTCATGCTAAAGCTCAAGACTTCACCCTAGCAAATGAAATTTAGTTATGCATATTCATAATTGAAATCCAAGAAAATATCATTCGAATGAATAAAAATGAAAACACTTGAAAGTGGCGAAAACCCAAAACCCTAGCAAATGCTCCAAAAGTCAAAAAGAAGTTCCAAAATTTTCTGTGAAAAGGAGCTTAAAATATCTTCTAAAATCTAGCTGCCCAATCCCTACAAAGAAACTAAGTACCCGTTTGGCATTGCTTATTTGGGGTGATAAGTGATTTTTTTAAAAAAATTTAAGAAGCCCAGCCCGTTTGGTAACCTATGAGAAAATCACTTATTATTAAAAATTGTTGTGTGAGAAAGCGATAAAGGAAAGTAGCTAATGAGCTGCTTTCATTTTCTGATTATGCAATAATCAGATTTGAGAAGGCGTTGGGTTTAATGAAAATTACAAAATTCCGAAAATACCCCAATATAATTTCACTTTCCTCTTCTTCGTGCATCTTCTCCATCCCACGCCACAAGAAAAGAAAGAAAAAGCTGAAGCACACGAGGACAACAAAAGAAAAGAAAGCAAAAGCGTAGGAGAAAGCACGTGTGATTTACTAGTATGATACTGTTTGGGCCAAAAATTGACACACCCAGCCCAGCGAAAAGATGGAAGCCCAAAAAACCAGAAGAGCCCAGCCCAAGGCTCATCAGAGCAAACAAGGCTGATCTGGGCCTCACAGGCCCAATATAATAGGAAAAGGGAGCCCAGAAATAGGAACAATCCCACGTGACATTTCTGGGATGAAAGTCAGCAATGGCGACTGTCATAGAAGAAGTGATTGAAGGGTTCATGACATCAAGTTGATTCTGAAGAAATTGAAGATCAAATCCCTCTTACATATATATATATATATATATATTCAGAGATTTTTCTTCTGTCTTCTCAGAGAAGGTAATTCTCC